TTTTGACTCAAATACAATTCATTTGCTTCTCTAATTTTCTACATTTTTGATGTTTTAACAGCTGAAATACTCATTTTGGCAACAAAACGTCTATGCTGGAGTATGCCCTCCTTTTCAACTCATAATTATGATTTTTTTCCCCCACTGCTGTGGTGATAGTGTCTAGAAAAAGCCTGAGGGAGCTGCAAACACCTTCCCTTAGTCTGCACTGCCATGGTCTCTGGGAACATCTGGTACAAAGTCCCTGCTCAAGTCTGGTGTGACCAGTGATCCAAACCCTGGTCTTAAATCAGGCACAACAGGGAGTTGAACAAATGCAGAACAAAAATAAATTTTTAAACCTCAAAAGCTGCCAGATTTAATCAGATGTAAGAGTGGGTTTGGCAGAGTTGTTCTCTTCCTGCACCCCCCCTCGCCCCATCCCCACCCCCAGCCCTGTCATCCACTTTGGCCACAAGATAAACACAGAATTCACTGGAACTTCTCACTCAGGGCAGCAACCAGTAAAGACTGGTTGAACCAGTAAAGACTGAAAACTTCCTGGTGAAGAGGAGTTTTGACAATTCTTACACATGGGCAAGTACCATCAGTACAAGTCCTGAACTGACAGACAAATGGAGACATTAAACAGCTCTACACTGACCACAAATTCTCACTGCAAAGCCACCACCATCTGCTAAACCCACCCTCTTAAGAGCATGACATTTGTCAAAAGCATGGTATCTGGATACTTTCTCATGCTAATTTGGTGCATACCTTTATATTTACGATTTTCAGACTTACTGACAGTTATGCAGACCCTCAAAAGATTTGGTGTTTGCTTTATTCTGTAAATTTTGGCCACGTGTTTTTTCTCACCTTTCTCTTGGCTTGTCAGCACTGGAATCTCTGAATCCACTTCACTTAAAGTGTTTGCTTCTTTCTAGGTACTGCAGACTGTAATCCATCTACACCAGTATGGGAAAGCAGACCCTTTTCTTACTGGGAAATGCTACCAGTATCTGGGAAAAACCTGCTCATTTCCAGACAGGTGAATGCTGGAATTTCAGCATCCAATCTGGCATTACAGAAAGAATAAATCAACATTAACACTACTGCACATTTTATATGAAAGGTAAGGGGGTCAGAGAAAACTGCAGTACTCTCACCTCTCCAGGTAAAAAACTGCTCTTGAGCAATATTGCTTTAAACTGTGCATACATCAGCATACAAGAAACGCCCAAAATTAAACAGAAAAGCATGGTGATAAACAGGGAATTTTATTTTTAGCCCTGCAGAGATTTATCACCATGAAAGTCTTGTGACTTTGACAAATCTAACAATAATGAGTTGTGTATACAACCTACAACAGCTGACAGAGAATAATACATTCCATCTGCTGGAGCTGTCCCAGGAGGCTGACTTTCAAGGTCTAAAAACTCAAATTTCTATGATTTTTTTCCTCCCTAATAAAAAGAACTATGAAACAGCTATCTGGTCCCTTTTGTGAAGGATGCATTGTGGTGAATAGCTGAAGAGAAAACTCAAAATGCATCTGGAAAACTCTAGTTACACCAAAATGCTGTTTCCCTTCTGTGTGGATCAGTCTCTGTGACTTGCCACTCACTCTTGCTCTTCTAATTAACTACAATCTTCATATTTGAGTGCCTTCTTTAAACCTTACAGAAACATTAGAGATGTCAGAGGGCTTGCAGCTGTCTTGCCATCCTGATAACAGACCCTGCTGCAGAGGAGTAGGTACAAAAGTACAGGTAAAGATTAATTTCAGTAATACAGAGAATACCTACGGATATAATCTCAGGTAAGGACGAAATAACTGAGGGTTTTAAACCACTACATGAAAATATTAAATCAGACACCCTGGTATGAAATAGTTCCTTAGTTGAAGCAACAGACACCCATAAAAAAACCCAACAAACTGCACTGGAGGGTCACAAGATGCTCCAAGGGCTGGAGCACCTCTCCTGTACAGACAGGCTGAGAGAGATGGGGCTGCTCAGCCTGGGGAAGAGAAGGCTCTGGGGACATCTCATTCCAGCCTTCCAGCACCTAAAGGGACCTCGTAAAAACACTGCAGAGGGACTTTTTACATGGGCAAACAGTGATAGGACAAGGGGAATGGTTTTAAACTAAAAGAGGCTGTATCTAGATTAGATATTAGGAAGAAATTGTTCCCTGTGAGGGTGCTGAGGCCCTGGCACAGGTTGCCCAGAGAAGCTGTGGCTGCCCCATCCCTGGAAGTTTCCAAGGTCAGGCTGGATGGGGCTCTGAGCAACCTGGGATAGTGGAAGGTGTCCCTGCCCATGGCAGGGGGTGGGAATGAATGATCTTCAAGATTCCTTCCAACCCAAATAATTCCAGAATTCTTGGATCCTTAAGGTCCCTTCCAACCCAACCCATTCTATGCAATGCCGTTCTATGACTCAGCATCACAGTTATTTTCTAGAACTTTCTAAATCTCTATGTTTGTTTTAGTTTTTCCTTATTCATTTCTTTCTAAATAGCTTAATTTTGAGAGGTTTGATTTCCAACAAGAAAATCATTATTGTGGAAGACTTTTGGCCTTTCCCTTTCTGTAAGGATGGGCAAAGTCTGAATGCTACAGATCACTCTCCATCATCAGTCACACCCAGAACCCCATGCACAGTGCAGAGGTCAGGAGTAGTTTTTCTTTCAGGTTATCAAGTTTTTGTTTCTAAATTCTACCATTTTTGGTGAATGAAGGTCTTGTTTCTATATTATGTACTATCCAATACATGGGGTTTTTTATTCTGCACACACAGAAACTCCCAGAACCTTAATGTTGATCATCTCTGTTTTGTAAAGGTTTCCCTTTTCTCTAAAATTCTTCACAGAAATAAGGGAAATCATTTTTACCCAGCTTGGGAAGATCTGCTTCCTAAGCAGGGTTTGAGCAAGCCAAGAGTAAGATGGGTGGATGTGGATTTCTCATGAACAAGATGTCATTAGAAAAATTCTATTTGCATGAGAAAAGGTGTGTTCACATAATGCCATTGATGAATTAAGGCAAATGTGTCCTTTTTCAAGGATGCTTGAACTACATTTCTATCTATTTCTGCCCAGAACAAGGAATTTTATCCGTGGGACTGTTAACTGTGTTGCCTGTTCTCGACAGGCATTTATTTCAGGCCTTCCTACAGTTCCTCTCTCACACCTGACCAGAGCAGCAAGGAGCTGGTTTAAAGCAATGGCTCTGCTCCTCTAGGTCAGGCCTAGAAAAGTGATCTGATTCAACCTTGCAGTTTGCCACCATCTGCAAAACATCCAGCCCCCACCAGCAATGAATAAAATATTCCACCACAGCAGCACTCAAACAGAAGCTGGCATGGCCCCTTTCAAGCACCTTTTTCGGAGTATGATCCTCTCTGCCTTTTCTACTTTCACCTTTTCTGACAGGAAAAAAATGCTCCATTTTAGAGACTTGAAGCCTAGTACTTCCACTTCCTAGGAATAGAAGCCTATTAATTCTGGCAAGGGGAATTTCACTGAGAGAAATCAGGTTTAAACTTTTGAGAGGTGTCAAAAATGTTCACTCAATTGAGCAATTGAGTTCACCAGCTACATTCCTGGAAGCTTTGCAACAGAAGGAATGAATCAGGAAAATCAAATTGAGTGTGATTTAACCCAACCTTGACACTGGCTAAGGCAAAATGTGAAAGAAAAGGAAAAATAGATACAATTTAATTGGTAAGGGAATAACATGCATGGCTGTCTCCCAGAATAAGAATAAATTCAACCAGCTATAATGAAAGTACAAGAAGAAAACATTTGCAGAAAGTGGGGAAAAATTTTTCCTGTCAGGCAGAAAAAGACACAGGTTTGTCTCATCACTCTTTCCTATGACACAGAGCTTTGCTCAGGTTAATTATGACCATGGAGAGAACACAGCTTTAGTGAACCAACATACACTGCAGATCTCTGAGAGCAGCCACCAGAGTCCCCAGCATCTTAGTGGCCTCCAGGACTGTTACCAGTTGCTCGACACTTTGCTGCTTCCATCCATCACATCACAACACCAAAATACAATCAGCAAAATCTGCTGTCATGTGGCCAGCAAGGGAAGCTGCTCCAGCCCAATAAACGTGCTGAGAATGAGCACAATATTCTGTTATGAGATGTGTAATTAAAGCAGAAACTTTGGTTATAAATATCATACCCTTCATGCCCTCTCCCAGACCCCTAAAAGCACTGGAAATGCCTCTGGGTATGGAACAGGACTCAGACTATGAGCTCAAGGTGTAGCAGATCCAGAACAGAGTCCCAGCCCCATCAGACAAAGAAAATCGATGCAAAAGGGGAAAAATCAGCTTTCCAGAAAACCTTCTTTTATAGTAAACAATGCCATTTTATAGGGACATTTCCATTACAAAATTAATTAAAAAAAAAAAAGGATTTTCCAAACAAAGCAAGCATGTTAACTCAGCAGTGAAATTCAGGCAGTTTCAGATGGTGACATACAACCATTGCTTATATAAAAACACAACATTTTAAATGAAGCAAGAGAAGAAACCCCACTTATCGAAACCTCTTAGTTGATGCAGGCATAAAAAAAGTTGTTTTTTCTTATTGCAATTTGTTTGCACAATGTTTAAGAGGGCACTGTAAAAAAAAGTAGAAATATTTTTCCTGGTTTATTTTTTCTTCCTTCAGAAGTAAAAGGACATAAAGATAAAAGGTGAAGGAGACCTGAGAAAGCTTTCCATCTACCTTCTGAAATAATTCAAAAAAGAATGAACAATATATCCAGCATCTTAATTGATGGTGAACAAAGAAAGCTCTTTTGATATTCACACCATATGAATTGAAGACTTCCTTTAATTTGTGTCCCCCTATTTTTGTTATGCAACCATCCTTGCTTGGAGGCATATTGCTTTACTAATTAGCTTAGAATTGTTTTTTCATAGAACTTTTCCCTTCATCATGTCAACTCTTTTTAAGTTTGTCAGTTGAAAATGATAAATGGAGTATAAGTAAATTACCTTTGGGTTCATCAATGTAGAAAGACACATCTTTTTTGTCCTCTTGTTCATCAATGTGATCATAAGTGATCTGGGGAACAGACAAGGAATTTTCTCCTGGGTTTATTACAGGTGCAGAACCATTCCCACAGCCCAGCTTCCCTTTTCTTCTGTATCTTCTGGCCTGTGGGAGTAGAAATGGAATGAGCTCAGAAGATGCCATCAAACACAGACAAGTGCATGTGTGAGCTTCACTGTACAAGGAATTCACTTGAGGTTGTACATTATTTAGTTAAAGAATGAAACTGAAATTCAGTGAAAGGGCTGCAACCTTTATTTATGGTTTTAAAGTATCTGATTCTGAATTATCAACTAAAATCTGGAAGGAATCTGATTCTCAGAAGGCAACTAGAAACATTCTGAAAAATCAGGTCATTAGTAAAATTTCTCAAATTGGGACCAAAACTCAAGGCATACAAAATTCTAATGACTTCAGCATACATCACCTTGTTTGGAATATCTTTCTAAAGCTTTAATTAAACATAACCATGAACTAGGCCCTGTGTAGCCTCTTGAAGTAAAGAAAACTTCACCTTTTGCCGAAAAGGCTAAATTAGGCATATCAAGAGAAGAGAAATCCTTCCTCTTGCCTCCAAACAGTTCTCCTGATTTCAGAAGCCTAAAGACAGCCTAATAAACACACTATAACTGGCAGATAAAAAGGAAAAATGAAGGTTTGGATCAACACAAAGAGTTGCAGGGTCAAGATATTCACATATGGGACAAGGCTACTTGACCTAAAGTTAAGCCAATTCTTACTTCATTATGGTCTACTATTGAGACTTTTGGAATTCCTTCTTCTATTCAGCTCTGCAGCAGTTAAACAAATGCACGCTCAAAATTAAATGGGGGAAAAATGGTAGAAATAAGTATTTGTTCTGGACAATGGATGCACTGGCATGCATCAAAATACTTCTAAAAGCAAAGATTACAGGCTCTTGAAGCAGGAAAAGAAAATAGGAGTTCTGGAGAACAAAATGCTACAACATGCACAAAATGATCTATATGTATTTGATACCTGAAAATAAGAAGTTACAGACCAAGAAAGAACAAAAGAAGACCCTTTGGTAAGAGGTGAAAAAACCATTACCATGTTCTTAAATGAGAGCTCGCAGGGCACAGGGAGGTTCAGACAAATAATATATTATGGGAGTTCCTCTTACTAGAGAAAACAGAGTGAAAATACTTTTATTCCCCCATCTCTCCAGCTATGGATTGTTTGCTGTTCAGCAACACACACACAGGAGCCTGACTTTAGCTTCAGCCCTTTCCTCCTGTTTGTTCTGTCTCCAGCTGTGACAAGGCAAGGTCCCCCTAACACCAAAACGCAGACATGCACACACATCAGGCTGTTCCAGCCCCCTCCATGTGCCATGGGGAATTGTACAGCCCTTTTTCCCTGGGAAACAGGCTCCAGTGGGATGCCACTGCCTAAAGGCAGGCCTTGACCATCATTTGGGAAATGCTGGGTCCCCGAGCTTGACCTGCTGCAGACCTCTGCCCTTCTGGCAAGCTTGGCAATGACACCACAGAACTGTGCCTGGGCAATTCCATCTTTGTAGGCAAACACTTTTCCACTTCCCTGCCTCGAATTTGCCTTAATTTATAAAGAGATAAAAGCAGCATGGAGTACTTCAGAGAAGAGTAGCTGCTGTCAGCCACGTGTTACATGTGAACATAAATTTTTAAACTGGCTTTCACCTTCTTCCTGTATGAACTATTTTGAAAAATGAATGCAGAACGGGAAAGTGGCACCATTGCCTTGTGCTTTGAGAAAGTAGGAGACTCCAAGGATGATAAAATAACAGAGAGTTGGTACCTGTTATTAACAAATTTAGTTAGAAGATATTTTTTCCTCAAAAATATTTTAAGGAAAACAAAACTAGTTGGGCTGTGGTAGGAGGAAAATAAATGTATTTCAGGTGTCCAAACTGCTCAGGCGCTTCACGAGGCTTTTGGCAAGTAAATTAAAATTTAAAATTAAAAGCAAGCATAGAGCCAGCCCTGCCAGTGCTGTCACCTGTTTTCTCAGACCGGGACTAGATGGCGCTGGAGACTTTTTGGGATTTTGCATGGGAGCTGTCACATAGATCTTCCAGGTGGCCGTGGAGGTGCAGGATTTCTCTGCTGCATAGCAGCGCCACAGGGTCTGTAAAGAAACCCAAAGAACCTCAGTGCAGGAGCAGCCATTGAGTTTGTGCACGGCGAATTTTACAGCAAATCCCACGGACCACAAAGCCCTCAGTTCAGGTAAACACCATTTCTAATAAAGTACAACCGTGGGGGATGCAATTTGCACCAGGACATGCACATGCATCACAGAGATATTCAGTGTGCTCTTGGAGTGCTCCTCACACGAGCTGGGATCACAGCAAAAAAAAAAAAAAGCCCCAAATAAATCAAATTCAACCCTCATAAAAGTTAATCCCCCACTGAATGCTGTGCTTTCTTTTTTCTGCATTGTGTCACATTGAATGTTTGTGCACTGTGCTATTTAATTCTTTATATTTTCATATGGAATGTTACGCTGGAAGATTTTTCTAAAAACAAGTGTGTTTTATCACATATTTGTACACAAATTCATCATCTCAGGATTTGGCAGATGTGCAGAACCTAAAAGAATATTAAAAGGAAGTTATGAATTAAATACTATAATGAAGATTTTTATTTTGTTTTTAGTATTTCACTACATATACTCACTGCATCCAGTTAGTGTCATTATGCCTGTGAATATCAGGTATAGTGCAGCTTCCAGAAAGGGAGAGGCAATTATCTCATTTTCTCTACTTACTGATGCAGATCAAAATGACCAAGTGGCTAAACACAAGCTATAGATCTATAATAAATTTAGGAATGGTGATTCTCAGTATTTGCACTTCCAGGCCATACTGTCTCTCCAATAAACTCTGAGGTATTTTAGGACTTTACTGTTGTGGCCTTACCTGAATTAGGGAAGCTGCAGCTGGGATTTGTCTATTGAAATGCTTCTGACGTTGCTTCTGCTGTACTTTCAGGGCAAAACCAGACCCCAGAATACCCTAAACATGACAAAATTACTACTCAGACATGTATATAGCCTCACATACCTAAATAAAATACTTTGCACCTAAAATAAACAGACTTAATAAAAGACCTTATAAAAAGAATTTTCAAGTGCCTACACTGTCAGAGTTCTATTTATTCCAACAAACAGATCTGAAATTGAGCAAATCAACAGTGGAATTGTGCAACTTCAATAAACAGCACGTGTTTATTGCTGTAATCCACAAGTTACAGGAGCCAGAGGCATTCACAGACGTGGACACACCTTTAATGAAGAGATTAAAGTTCTACTTACAGCTGGCAGGGCAAAGAAGGAGATGGCAAATACTGAGAAGCAGGAAGCTATTGCCTTCCCAATCCACGTCTGGGGAACTTTGTCTCCATAGCCAATTGTCGTGACTGTTACCTATACCAGAAACAAACACCTGTTTTAGTGCTTTTTTCTCCAAAAAGCATGAGGAAAAAGACTGAAAGGGAAAAGGAATTAGTGAAGTATCAGGAGACAGGTGTGAATCAACAGTGTGTGGATTTGGAGATAAGGAAACCTGTGCTGACAGGAGTGAAAAGGGACAGAACTAACCCATCCCAGCCGAATCCTCACGGCAAGAGGAGGAACACAACCATTCCAGGATGTGTTACCTCCCAAAGTCAACCTGCCAGTAGAGTTAGACCTGAACACAGATGAGCCCTGTATTTAGCTTTCTTTCTTCCTCCCTCACAAATACAGGACCTGGCCACTCAGAATTGTGTCTGAGCCACAATGTGCTTAAACTTGTATCTGATCATTGCTTATCAGAGCCAGGTACTCCCTAAGGGATTACCACAGCCAAGAGAATCAGCAGAGCCAGCAGGCCAGCATCTCTCCAGGCAGGACCCAGTTCCTTTCAGGCCAAACAGAAGCAGAAAGTGCAGCCAGGTCCATCCCAGAGTCTGGATTCTAAGGCAGCAGCACAATGAGGCAGCTCTGGCAGCAAGCCACAGGTCAGGATTAGGATTAGGTGGTCAGCACATGAGCCCACAGGGAGGACACAACAGCAGAGCATCATCCCATGGGTGGGAATCAGGATTAAGGGAGTCCATACCTAGACACAGCTGCAGTTGAGCCACAGACCATCTCTCCTGTGCTGAAATATTGCCCCTTGTGTGCATGGAGCATCACCATGGGGTCATGCTGGTCAGGGTCATTAGTGCCCTCGGGTCTGGGACCTGCAGGGACTTGGCTCTACACGGACTTGCTGTGGAGGTGACAGGCCAGCCCTGAGAAGCCCCAGAGGCACGAGGACCTGAGTGGAACAGAGGTTTGGGGATATTGCTGAAGAGCCCCAGCAGGACGAAAGAGAATTCATTATGAGCCAGATGTCAGGAAGGATCTGGTGCAGGGGGAAAAGAGGGTCCAGGTGGAGGCTGGTCCATCAGAAAGCCTGAGATGTAACAAGGAGCCCCTGCTGCCCAATGGAAGGGGACAATCAGCTGATCCCAAAACAGGAACCTACAGCAAGCCATGGGAATCACACCTGACAGGGGCCTCAGCACCATGGTCACAGCAGGATAAGACTCACAGACCATGGACTAAAACAACGACCCTGAGCCATAGGGGTGTTGGGTTTTCAGCATCCTCAGAGCCCTGATGCTGCCATAAAATGGTGTGAGAAACACAGCCTGGACCCTTGAGACACAAAAACCTTCTGTTGAGGAACAGAAGAGCTCTGTCATCAATACTAACCACTGGGGAGAACTGTAAATAGAAAACATGTACTTTTATTTGGATGTACCAGCCCCAAACCTAGTCCCCCTCCCTTCACTTTGCCTTGAATGGTAGCAGAAACACAGCCAAAACAGACTTAAAAGAATATGTAAATTTACACTGACTATAAAGAGGCTGCCTTTTATGGAAAAATTTGCTGACAAATGCTTGGATGTTATGCAAAAATAGTCTTCTCAGAAGAAACTATCAAGCAATAAAGGCATGGGAAGAATATGTTTCCTCCTACTCTCAGAGCTGGAAGAAAGATTTGCAGGGAAAGAATTACCAACTACTACCAAACTTAGTTTTTCCAAGTTCCAAAAAAATAGTTACACTTGTGTTTATTCATATGAATTTTCCACTTGAAGACCACTTTGTAGCAGCTATATCCTTGAATGAATATTGTTGTTTTGAACTGCAAACTGATCTCAGCAGGAGCTCTGCCTTGCCAGGTGTTTGTCCAGATTTAATGTGGCTGGCAAGTGACTCAGGTGCTGTGTGCTACCAGCAGGACAAACACATGAATTTGCCAGTCCCCAAAGTTGAATCAGACCCCCCAAAATTCAACTCTGAAATGCAGCATGTGTTTCTGGGCAGTGGAGGAAGTTAAAGCTCTGTTTCTTTAACAGCACTTCAGCTCCTCAGTGTACCCAGATGACCCCTCAAAGACTCTGCCTTTTCCTTCCTTTTCCCTTCTTTTTTCTTTTGAAAGGCTTCTTAGGTTTTGGGGGTGGTCTGGTTTTTGGGGGGTGGTTTTGGTTGGGTTTTTTCCTAAGTTCTCCAGCACCAGGACTTAAATCCAAACTTCAGTAATGCAGTTAGATCTGCCTTAATATTACTGTGGAAGACAGCATGAAAGCTGTAACCACAGAAAAGATGAATTTTCCACCCCCACAGCAGGCACTTGGCTGGCAGACTACTGCAGGTGCCTGAACATGTCTCAGAAAGTTTTTCCTTGGCTACCCTATGAGGGTTCCTTGTTGGTAATCTAATTAGCACACTGAATACATGGAAAGGACTATAAATAATGTAATTCTCTGACTTTCTTAATCAGGATTTTTTTTCCTACTTGTATGTCCCAAAGTTATCAGTATTTCTGAGCAGAGAATGTTGGAGAACTGGGCCCTGGAAAATGAAACCTTTTGTAACAGGGATTTATGATGGCACATTCCAGCAGTGTGCACAGGCTTTAGCACAAGCTCTGAACACACACATGTACACCTCAAAGAGGGAAGAACTCTGATTTAATAGAAGTCAACAGGACTGCTCAGATGTTTTAAGACAGGCAGGTGTCTTCAGGTGTGAGGAGTCAGAACTGCACACCTCGACAGCCACACTAAATATAAAGGGATTCAAACTGCTACCTCTGGCATGGAAATTTACTGCTGGAAATTCTGAGCAGCTGGTCCCAAGTACCTGTGCCAATTTACTGGAGCGAGTATTTAACTCCAGTCTGGTGGTACAGAATGGCTGAGTGTGCAGCAAGGCAAATAAGCATTACCAGCAGCAGGAGGCAAGCAGGGAGGGCCAACAGAAGAGAAGCCTCCTATGTGCTCTTCTTCCTCAAGAAAAAAATACCCAAAAGGGACAGGGCAATTGCTGGGACATGGGCTGCAATTCTGGCAGACTGACCATGCTGTTGGAAGTGCTTTTACCTGTGCCCTACATGCTACAACTTCTGAGAAGGACTTCATGTGAAACACAAGTCTTTGATATGTCTTTGCAGCTTAACCTGTGTGCCTGCCAAATCTAGGAGAAAAAAACCTTGCATTTAACTGAAGCAGGTGAATATAGTTAGCAATTAATTCCAACTCTCATTCATTCTTTATTTTCTCTTTTCTCCATATTTAAACCTTTCAGGTCATTTGTATCAAGTTCAGCAAGCTTGCACTTTCTCCCCAAAGCAAAACGTTCCCCATAATACACTGTGGTTTTTGTCAGACATGTAAGACTTTCAAATACTTGCTACCAAGATTTTTTTTTTCCAATGGCTCAGTTTTGAAAGGCAAAAATAAAAATCAAATTTCACTCCCTAGTAACTCCACATGTGTGTTTCTGTGTTCCAGGAGATTTGAAAAGAAGAAGAAACTGATTCACTTTGTCCTTTGTTCCTATTCCCAGCTGTGAACTGCACCTGCACCGTGACTCACTAAATGCTGAGGAGGCCTAGATGCCTGAAAAGCTTAAACAACAATTTGAACAGTGTTCCTCACACAGCCAGAGAAAGAGGAGCTGATTTTATCTTGCTGCTACACAAAGAAAGTCAAGTTTTGGAAAACAGCAAAACCCACTAAACACTTTGCATGTCCCATCCACACACTTTGAAACCCAGATCCCAAGTCATCTATCTCAACAAGGTAATATGCATTTTAAACTTCTCTGATGGTCTTCATAACTCCTTTTAAATTCCCAAAGTCCAAAATACTCCTGCAGAAACACACCCTGACTTTTTTAACCTTAATTTTTTTACTCTTTACTCATATCAATGCAGTATCTTATAGTGATTAGAAGTATTTCAAATTCAGACCTAAATATTCAATGCAACTAATGAAGCAACTCTGGAAAACCAGAGCTAAAAAAGAAAAATTAAAAAAAAAAAAACAAGGAAAGGTAGGAAGAGTATACTAGGTCCACATGGAATTTTTATCACATGCAGGAATTACTCATGCATGAATATACATGGATAGAACTGGATGCTAAAACTGATCCACTGGTGTTTGAGGTGAACTGCTCAAATAATGGAAGAATAAGTGAGAATAAGAACACTGGTTTGTTCTCTTAAAGCAAGCATGGGGTATCTTTCAATTATACCCTGATTTTCTTTTAAAATTTAGCACAATCTGTACTTCTGAGAGACTCATTACTTTCCTCCACTAGCTCCAGGTTGCTTCACATCTATAACCATGAGGTTTCATATTCTTAAAATTTTATCCCATGTCCATTGAGTACTTTAACAAGTGTTAGCTCTGTGGCTTGGTTCATGGTTTCATTGCTTCCCAGCACCTTAGATCATCAGGCCCATCTGGCCATTGAGTGGCTTTTTTTTTTTTTTCACTAGATTCTTCTGGGTTTGTACTGTTTAACACAGCCATAGGTGATACTCTGCAGATGAAATGAATACTTGACAACCTAGTGACAGGCATTTAATGTTTAAAATATTTTTATAGTGAACCACTTACAGAGTGGTGACTCAGGCTACATGTAATATAGTCTGTAATTCTGTGTAATTCATTGAAGTAGAGACTTATGCAGCATCTAGTTAAATATAAAAAACCAGGAACCTATAACCTGCATCAAGGTCTGAGACATGACTGAGAGAGTGAGTTTTACACAAAAAGATTTTTTAAAAAATCTAGTCATTAACCCAACTTTCACATATAGAATATGTTTTGAAGTTATGCACCTTTTGCAGATAATTTAGTAGAGTTTGAAGGAAGTGATATAGGTTTTGAAGGGGATTTTTACTCTTTTTGAGACGTGGAATTTTCATATCTGTAAACATTCAGTGTCCTTTGCTAAGAACTTGCTAACCTGCTTTCACAGTAAAATTTAATACCCCAATAATTCAGTTGTATTTCTTATATTATTTCTTTGTATCCATCTGAAGAGGTTTCCAAGCCTCCCTACAGAAATACATTCTGCAAACAAAGAAATGCCAGATTTTTCTGAAAAGATCACCACTTGAACAGAAAATCCTGGGCCCTGTTTGCACACACATTTTGTTGGTGAGGACTTACCACACCCCACCAAAGGGCATCAGCATAGTTGGAGAAACCTGTCTTTCCATCCTCATCAACTGCATCCTTCTCAGCAAGATAAACAAAGTAGGATGAAAAAATTAATCCCAAGAATCCAATGTACAACGTGGTTATGAGTTCCTATTAAAAGAGAAAGCAAACAAGCATATGAGGTTTTCATCCTATATATATATATATTTATATATTCTGAGTGGGACATCTCTCCTAATTATGGAATGGGAATCACTCCACTTAACTGTCTGCTCAAAATACTAATTGTCTAAAGATTTTTAAAGTAGCAAAGCATCTTTAGAAATGTTCTTTCTGAACAGCACATTGAGAAACAGCAGCCATGTCTGGTGATTATGGCAATATCTGAGCACTGAACCTGTGTATCTGATGTTTAGACTGCTTAAGACTGGATAGTGATGCCTCAACAGTTTCATGTTAAGATAAAATTTTAGGATAAAATATGCTAGGTAGATGTCAGGTTTTCAGTCCTGAAGAAGAAGGCTAGGGCAGACTGCTGTGAAGGCATGATACAGTCCTTGTGAATATAACATTTTCTCTAAAGATTTTTGGGCAGGAAATTTGTGTCAGACCTGTTGTGACTTAGAGGATTTTCAGTTTTCAGGAAAAAAAGAGTTCTTGTGCATTTAAACAAGCTAAAATGTGCGGTGCCACAGATGCTAAACCATGTAAAGCTTTTAAAAGCAATGCTAAATGAGATATCCACCGGCCCCTCAGGGAATTCCAATACCTAGTTATGAGGGAAAACAGCTCATTCTAACTACTTAAAGCTTACATGCATTATTCCTTTACTTTCTTTGCACAAATTTGGCCATCTTTATCAGGAAACAATGTTGTGCTACATGTGTTCAGTGGCCCCTTCCTTAAGTTCATGACAGTCATTGGTCTCTCCTTGGATCCCAGCCAATAAGGGAGTTAAAATAATGCCATATGATACATTTTAAATTAAAACCTGAATAGGAAGGATTGCCCCTACTTTTAAAGTAGGGTTTCACAGATTTTCTGTAATACTCTACCCATGTTTCTCAAACTGTTTTTAAGGGAAGGTTCAATTTTATCATCAAACTCCCCTCAGATTTTCTTTTCTCTTTCTTTCTTTTCATTTCCTTATAAGAGCTGTCTGGGGAAAGCTAGCCCTCGTGTCAAGTACCAACATTGAGCAGCAGGAAATATAAATATTCTTCCTTCTCCTATAGCACTAATTAAAATCTGGGTTCAGGAAACCTTTAAGTAGTCTTGGCATAAAGAAAAATGGATGTTTTTTCTCTTCCCATTTAATGATGACCTAAATAATGAATTTCGATAGTATTTTGTCTTGCCCATGGCCAAGTAATTTAATTTGACCCATAAAAAACTTTCTGCAGGCCTGTTTGCTAAACAAGGCAGCTGAAAAAGGAAATAAACCCTTGGGTTTCAGTAGTTTCTCTGCTGGTCACCTTTATTTTCTCACCTTTATCTCATGATAATGGAGCACTGTGTACTTGTAGATATGACTTGCTTTGAAAAGCTCCTTGTGTTAACATATACAATTGACTGCAGATGAGAATTGGAATAATTCTGGTTTAAGTGCTGGCTTTTTGGGAAGCAGGCAGGAAAACAGCAGAGTCTCATGCAATCCTTTCAAAGTGGCTGAAATATCAACAGAACTACTGAGCTTATTTCACTACTGGCACCTCTCAGCTCCAGTACTATTTATTTAGAGACGGAATTCTTTTTAAGTAAAGGCCAGATGAAAATGCAGCTGCCTTGGACTTATTCTAAATGTCACCAGTCCATGTCCCACGTGTATAGAGAGACTATATTTAATTATTAAGAAGTGGAAGCAATCTCATGTATACTTCATTTAAGGGAGAGTCAGAAGCTTTTAAATAACACATGCTTCATGAGACATGATCACAAAACAAACAGTATTCTGCAGGCATAAGGCCTTAAAACTACATATGTATGTGGGTTTTATTAGACAAGAGCTTAAAAATAAAGAGTGCTGCCTAAAACAAATGGCTCTTTGCAGCAGGGACTTTCAGAGACACACACACAAAGGGGAAACAGCAAGAACAAGAAACACACATGTCCATTTGAATATTGACAGAATTGAGTCAGCACATTTTTTTAAACTCACCTATATCTCCATTTTCAGTTAAAAAAAGGACTACACAATACAAAGTTCAACACTTGGAAAGAATATGAGAATTCCTTCAGTCCTAAGACCACTGGAAGACCTCACAAAGCGAGGTGAGGAAGGAGTAAAACCAACCTAGAGGCTCACAAGCTGGAGCTTGAGTGGCTAACTTGGTTTTTAAGCAAACTGCAGGATTTCTCCATGGCTTTCCACCACCACATGGGATACTGACTCATGTTTTGTTGCCTTTGGCAAGAAATGCTGGTATATAAGCTCAACCTGCTGAAAATAGAAGAGCATCCCAGCCAAAATGGGCTTGAGTGAGCTAATTGAGCTGTATGTAAAATTCCAAAACACATGGAAATCATTGGTGATAACTTTGCTAAGCTCTTCTGGGCCTAGGGAGGTACAAGTGCTTGCTATTTTCACAGGGCACCAAGATGTGAATTTATTTTCTCACATTGCTTAAGGGTTTAGGAGCCTATTTTTTCTGAAATAGTATCAAACGCAAAAAAACCCACCCCAAAATAGATGAGGACTTTGTACTCTGCCTGTGGAGAAAAAGCAGCTGAGGTGTTTTTGTTTTGGCTTTTTTTTTTAAACAAAAATTTCTTTCAGAGGCTGGATAGGAATAAAGGTTCCATTTTTCCTTCCGTTTGGTACCGTGTTAGGGTTTCAGCTACAGTTGTCCAATGTCAATACAGAACTGTGTGCTTGGTATTTTTTTTCTTAATGTGTTAGTGGGTGATCTGCTTGGATAAGTACTACAGATCTGTGGAGTTTTATTTATCACCATAATCACTTCTTTGGATAAGCAGAACTTCAGGTGCGTTTACTCATAAATTGACTTTTCCAGGGATTTTTTTCCCCTTTTAAGTCATTGAACTTTCTTATCCTTGCAACACATAAGATTTAGGTGTTGTATTTTGGAGATAGTATTTCCTGATTCTTGACTAAAACTCTGAACACCCACAGGGAAAAATGTTCTCAAGCAGCTCTGTCAGTAAGGGTAGTAAATGTTGAGAAAGTTATTTGGATATCAGCTTTGCCCTAGCAAGATACTCAGGCAATGCAAGCATAATAAATGAAGACCACACAGACTTGTAGCATTAAAAGTCATCCTGTTGTACAGTATGAAAGGAGGCTTTATCCCACAGCACTTTGGTGTGCATCACTTCTGCACAGCCATCATGACATAAAAGTTCCTACTGGATTAGGGGTAAAAATAAAAGGAAGAAAATTAACTTTTAGTATTAAATTATTTGCTTGGATTAAGTGCAGCGCATTCTATATCCCAAAAGAACAGTTTCCTAAATAGAAAATTAAAAAATGTCTATGTGGAAATCTGTAACTGTTTGTCAATATGTGGAGAACAAATCCACACTTGTAAGAACAAATTAACTACCCTTACAAGCGGGATGTGGAGATTAATAGCAGAGTATTAGCCCTCCAGAGCATGGCATGAGATGCAAGAGGCTAATGATATAAGTTTCTATTATATTGATAAAGCTATTCATAAATGAGATTCCATGAAGACTCAAAAAGAAGCCTTCAATTAGAAATATTTTAAAGTCTGCAGAAAAACTTTTAAACTCTTCCTGCTTAATGAGCTTTCATACAGAAAAATTGTTTCAAAGCTTTAGAAGACATACAACTATTTATAGCCAGGTTTGCCTCTGTGACCACACCCTTGAAAAACTAACGTTTTTTGGACAGCCTCATAACACAGCTCATATTTTTTATTTACAGAATAAATTAGAGAACTCCATATTCAATGAGAACAAAACAGAAATATTTAAATAATTGACTTCTTCTAGCAAGGCTTTCCCACTAGTGTTTGGTTTTTCTGTGGAAGCACATCTTGAGATATTGGAGAATACTTGCAATATGAAAGGAAACCCACAAAATTGCATTTAAGATATTACACTGAGGGATAACATCACAAGAGTACAACAATTAATTAATAAACCCTCACGCTGGTGTTTATACCCTGTTAGCCACTGCCCTGAATAGCAAAGAATAGCTTCCCATTTAAAAAGGAGAAAGAAAGACACAACGGACTTTTAAAGTATTTTTTTTCTCTTGCAATGCAACAGTTCATTTAAACCAGCCCACGATTTGAGGCCCACAGAGAGAATTTACTGAAGTCAACAAAATGCAGGGGATGTTTAAAGGCTGGGTACCTGTCGATGGATGAAGACCACTGACCCCAGGAGTCTCCAGGTGCCTCCCTGGCGGTCAACGTGAAGCATCCGAAGGATCTGGAGAAATCGGATCCCCCTGTAAGGAAAGTGAAGCATTAAAATAAATACAATAAACACATAAAAATGCTTGAGGACAATACTGCCTTATCCACTCACAACTGATTATCTCCACTGACACACTGCCATGTCCAAGAACTTGTGATAGCACTGCCCCTTGCCTGGGGTGGCATCTCAGGCTTGAGGCATCTCTGTGTTTAGATCACATTTCATTATAGTAAAATTTATTCAGAAATACTGACTATGAAAACAATTATTTAATGGGAAAACAAACAAAATCAGGGAAAGCTGTATAATTTATATGGTTCCAATCTTTACACACCTCCTTTGCAAGGAAAATGCTTCAAGCTTTGCTAACATAAATGTGAGCAAACCTTTTGCTCTATTTCCCAAAAGCAGAATATTAATCAAACATGGTATTACTGAAATCCTTGTTGTTGAGTTATTGAAATCTATCTAAGTGGAAATAGATTGCTTCTTATGCGTTCTTAGGAGATTAACTAAATCAATCATAAACTCCAAATGTTTCAACTAAATAAAAATAATTATCAATATGGTTCTTCAGCATAATTTTATTCCATGGAAAAAATTTTATTAAGTTGCTCTTTTGCAATTAATTTTGTTTGCCTAGAGTCATCTTATTGTCTCATCCCTGAAACAAAACAAAAGGATGAACGCTGAATTCATCTACCTGAAAATTTTTCACTAGAAGTATTTTTGGCTCTTTTTAGCAATCTTCATGATATTTTTGTGGATGTAGGTTTTGATTCTTAATTCAGACTTGCCTGACCCTGCTGGCTTTTCAGTGGGGTAATAACACTGCAGGGATATGGGTTAAGGTTCTGTGTCAGAGAGCACAGACAGTGACTCTGGACTTAGTGTTGGGAAAGGCTGCACTGAGCCCAAAACCCACTGGGTTCACACAGAAACACACAGAGCCTTTTCATTTAAGTCCTTCCTATGCTTCTTGTTAAATTAAAAAACCCCAATTCTTGGAATTTTCACATGCACCTTGCTGTTTTCCTGTAGAGCTGATATTCCTGCTGCCTGGGTGGAGGCTTTACCATCAGGTAAGGATGAATGTTCTATGGTAAGAGTTACCTTAAAAACACTCAGTACATGTAGTTCCCCCAGTGTTTGCCTACACAGCAGTTTAGACAGTACTGGACATTCCCATTTCCCAGTGATTCCAGTGCACTGGAAAGCAGAGGCTTGTCACAGAACATGCAGGACATTTTGGAAGTTAGGTTAGGAGTGGGAAGTACACCTACTGCTTATCATTCTTTTCTTCTGTTTACCCACTTCACCTCCCAAAACAAGCCTGCAGTACTTGATGCAAGCTGAACAAACACTGTAGACATCAAATGTTTCTGGTTCATGTATCGTGTGAGTTACTTGTGCCAAACAAATCCACCAAAGCATAATTACTCTTTAAACAAAGTAATTACTCATACTCAAAAAACACCGAGTTAAACGCTGTCTGGATTATTTCTTAAATAAACCCATGCTCTGTAATTCTCCCTTGTCTCAGAGAGATAATTTCTTGATGTTTTAAATAGGACACAACATTTCATTTTTTCCACTTGGCTTCAGCATTCCCACAATTTTTCATTTTCCTTGTTCCTGCACTCATTTCCCAACCAGTCACCAAGCACAACAGCACCCAGTCCTCTCCTGCTCAGTGCTTCAATAGAGTAACTTTCCCTGAATTAGGAAAATCAGACATGCAGCTAAATTGGGAAATAGGCAGCCAGACACTCATCTAATAACCTCTGTGGTAGTGAAAGCTGCAGTGACAGGAGAACATACCTTATTGCAGAGGTGGCAAACACCTGCCCATTCGATCCTATGCTCAGGACAATAATTGAGGCTACTACCACAATCAGATCTGTAAAAAAACAAACAAACAAAAACAATCAAAAGAAGAATGTTGGTTTTTTTTTAATCTCAGCACTGAAAAACACTGAAATACAAAGGAAAGAACTTCAAAAAAAGAAATTTGATGGGCATGTTACATCTTTGTAATAGTTTCACATCAAAACCTTAATGGTGACAGTTTCTTCCAGGATGAATTCAGTAACAGAAGTTTCAAAGAACCTGACAGATCAGGCAGCTTGCCACAAAAAATGCAAAGGCATTTGTGCACCCTAGAACTGAATCCATATTTTGGCTCAAGGTTTCTGATCTAAGAGGAAATGGAAGGGTTTGCATCATGCAATAATGAAATCCATGAAGTCCAGCATACATGCACACATACACTTAGTTTGAAAGTTGCATCAAAGCTGTAAAGCCAAGCTTTCAAACCTAAGGGAGCTGTCAGAACAAAGGCTGGCTAAAAAAAAATTCAGAATTGTTAGTTTACTTTGTAATACTGTCTTTATTTGTATGAAAAAATAATTGTTTCCAGAGTTCCTTTTTTTTTTTTATTTCTACAGCTCTACAGTTTACACAGTTTCAGCTTTATGCAATGCAAATGACAGACTGAGTTCTTGAGTTCACAGTGCCAGCATCCCTTATTTTCCCTCATCCCAGTTCATTGAGCATGTCCCTTTCTTTTAATTATTGAACCTTGCTGTAACATTATTCTGAGAAGATATTTTTTTAATTTCCTCACAGGCATTTCTGTGGTAAACCTATTTAGAGCATCTAAATGCTTCCCTTTCAAATTCTAACCAAAACAATAAAGGATAGCATTATAAATGAGTAGCAATTGGAGGCAGAATGAGGAGAAGTTTTGGTAAACTTTCCTTTGCCAGTTTGAAACAGGCAGTACTTTATTCTTCAGAGCAATTAACATTATACAGGACTTCAAAACACCAGCCCTGCTGACTTCACCTGCAGCTGTGAGGGCTCAGAACCTCTGCACCCCGACTTCAAAGTCTGCCTTTGGACATCCAGAAAACGAGGCCCCCTTGTGAAAACTGATTTAACCCACTTTCCATGGGATGCCTGGGCAAGAGACAGGATGGGATCCAGCCTGAGCAGCAACAAGTTTCCTTCAGCAAGGTTAACTTGTTTTTTCCTCTCCTTTTAAACGTTCTCCTGCCTCGTTCACAACCATGTAGTTGCTGCAACAAATATTGCAGAAGTTCTACAACAGCATCCTTCGCTCTCTGAGTTGAATTAATTTCCAGTATCAGTCTGAATTTTGCTGTAAAAGCTGGATTCCTCCTCAAGGGAAAGCACACAATTTAAAGACTGTACTACACTAATTGTGCATGAATGAAAATGAAAACAAAAATGAAAACGACAATGAAAATGACAATGAAAATGAATAAAGGGAGGGATGAGGCTACAGAAGGAGCTTCTATTTGGGATTAATCTTAGCTTTTGAATGCCTGTCTTTGCAAATTTTTAAAGCTGTTCCTGTATCATGTATATGTGTGAACATGTATTTGTAAACATTGGAATTCAGGGTGGGTTTTCTTCCCATCACATCACAACACAGATCTTTGCCCTTTAGCAAATGCTGCATCATGTCTTTACTAAATTGTCAGACACACACATATCCATCTAATGACAGGCACTAAAGGTGGAAAAGACTGATGCTTAGAAAAGGAGTTCAACCAAACAGTGAGAGTAGAAGAGATTTTTTCATTTGTACTTTCTACTTTTCTCCAAGAAAATGTTCTTCATGGTGGAGATATTTCTTTTTCTTTCTTTTTCTCCACACCTGTTCTTCCATCTCTGCTTCTCCTCTGTTTCTAGTTTTCATCCCAGTTTCCAGTGCTTAGACTTCCCTTATTAATCCCAGTTTACTGGTCCAAACAGCCTGATTTTACAGCCTAGGTCTTCAGCATATCCTGCCCTTTCACTGCCACCTTTCGATCTCACGTATTTTCCAGCCCCTGCTGATTTCTCTTCAAGCTCCTTGTTGCTTGTCAGTCTCTTTAAACCTTCCTCTCCCAGATTTTTGCATCAGAACCCACCTCCTTTTTTACTGAGCCTGTGTGTCCCAGAATGTTCCTTCTGCCTCAGCCTGGGATTTTCCATGCAGAACTTTCTAAGAACAAATTTTAGAGGGAACAAAAACTCATAGAAGAAATCCATGTCAAAGAAATTTAGTGGATTTTTTTCCTGATTTTAAACTAAAATCTTTTGTATTAATTAAGAAATAAAATAAATGCATTATGTTTTAAATTCTGTTCTAATCCTCTAATTTCATTTTCCAGTGTTTGTATTTTATTCATATTGATTTGAAAATGATAGGATGAGTCAGTAAGATTCAATCATTCACAGCAAAGGTATTTCCTAACTTTAGCTTGTTCTGTCAGTGCAGATACTGTTCCATCTGCTTTTGACGTGGAAAAGAAAATTTTGATTTCCAATGTATTATATCCTTAGGGAATTTCAAAGGTTAAATAAAGTACTGATACCTTCTCACTGAGTACTTCTCACTACTCACTGTGTGAGTGCACAACCAGCTGCAGCCATTCTTAGCTTTTCTTAACAAAACCCACGGTGTCTTCCCCAAGGGCTCCAGTACAAACATGAATATTTTGCTGTGGTAGTAGCAAAACACCAGCAGAGATAACCCCTTGAAACCACAGTTCAATGAGACTATCATTTTCTCTAATATACTCACCCTAAAAGCACTTATTAATTGAGAGAGAAATCAAGAACACAATGAGGAGTAAAAAACTTCCTTACAAACTTCGTGATTACATCACAAAAGTAGACCAGCTCTAGAAGCAGATGAAGAATTTGTTTGTACCCAAGGAAGGATTTTATGTTCAAAATCTTGTCAATTACCCAAGGTTTAGTGATTTCTTCACTTTTCAGTCCCGCCTTTCTAAGGCTGATGTCTGCTTTAGCTATATTTTAAATGTTCAGTTCTAGCAACCCAAAATAAGAGAAATCACAAAGCAGATAAATGCTTGAGGGGTAGACATAGCTCAGAACTGCAATAAGGCCCCTGCAGAAGTTGACATTTTTACTTACAACCAGCAGGAGGGTTGCAAAAGAGTTTAAAACTTACCAATGATGGATATTGGCTTCCTGGCAAACCGGATCCTTCCCTGGAAGCCAACATATTTACTCCTGCAGCCAGCAGACCACAGCCGGACCAGGTACTCAGCACCAAAAAACACCACCAGAACTATTTCCTAACAGAGTGGAAAGGAGAAGAGATCAGAGATGAGGTTTTTCATTATAAGTACAGTTTGCATATCTAATTTATTCATTGGACTAATACAAATGAGCTTGTCGAGATAGATGATACAATAAAAAAGATTTTAACAGCCTAATCTGTTCACTTTTTATGTGCATATGCCAGGCAGTAAATCAAAGGGAGAGATAATCAGTTCCTGAATGTGATTTGCATGAATAAACATATATATCAGTATATTATAGGGGAAAACACAACATTATTCTTCTTTTGTTTTGACACTTCCTTGCCCTCCAGGGCTTTCCCCACCTTCGTTGCCCTCCTCTGGACACACTCTCATGTTCTGATGTCCTAAACCCAAAACTGCCCCCAGGACTCGAGGTGGGGCTGCAGCAGTGCAGAGCAGGGTGGGGCAATCCCGGGACACAGGTGACCCCTCTGGATGCCAGGGCACCCTGGTGACTGACACTGAACTGGCATCAAAACCCCGGATCTCTTTGTGCAGGGCTGCCCTCCAGCCTCCTGTCCCACAGTTTGTATAACCAGGATAGGCTCGTCTCAGGGGGAGAGTAAAGCTCTTGCTTTTGTACCTTTTCACACAGTTGGTGACTGCCCAGCTCTCTGATCCACCCAAATCTCTCTGTACCCTGGGGGAGTTCACAGCTCTCCACAGCTTAGTATGGCTGTCAAACTACTTTAATGTGCATTTGATTTCTGAGCCTAGTTCATTTTAAAAAGATATTGGAGAACACTGGCTGTAAAGTTGAGCCCTGGAGTCCCCCCTCAGTGCCTGGGGATCAGGCTGGTGTTTACTGCAACTCTTTGAGCCAATTACTCATCCAGTGTACCATGGGCTTGTTGAGCTGTGTGCTGGAGTGTTTATCCAGAAGGAATCAGTGACAGACAGGACCAAAACCCTTGCTGAAATCCAAAAAACCTCACATTTTCTGACTTTCTTTAGTCACCTATGGATAAATTTGAGTTGTTTAAGCAGTACTTTCCCCCATGAACTTGTGTTGCTGTAACCAATGACTGTGTTGTCTCTCAAGTGTTTTTCAGTAAGTCCCAAAATAACTTTCTCCATAATTTTACCAGGCACTGCAATGAGACTGACAGGTCTGAAATCACCAGGGACTTCCTTCTTGTCCTTGAAAACTGGGACAATATTTGCCAGTTTTTGGTTTAGTGGGAGTTCTCCAGACTCCCAAGACCACTGAAAAATAAATGGAGTGAGGTCCCACAGTGACATCTGCCAGGTCTTTCAGAATCCTGGGATGAATCCCCCCAAGCCCCACGATTTATGCACATCCAGCTGTAGCAGCAAGTTTCAAACAAACTCAGGGTGCACTGAGATTTTATCATCCCCCACAGTCATGGTTTTCCAACAGAACTCCAGACTTCCCAGGGGCCATAGTTGTTGAAGGCAGAGGTGAAGAGGACATTAAATGTCACTGCTTTGTCTGCATGGCTCGTTTTGAGGTGATCAATCTCATCAAGCCATGGCCCAGTGCTATGAACACATTTGTAAAAGTCCCTTTTATTGTTCTTCCCAGTGCTGGCCTGCTTGAACTCCAATTGAGCTTTGGCTGCACTAATTTTCTCCCCACCTTGGGGACAGAATCTCCTCCCATGTCACCTGGCCCCCCACATACTTCCCTTTCCTCCCTAAGTTCTAGAAGATCCTTGCTCAGCCAAGCTGCTCTTCTGGCCAGCTTTTCTTGACTTCCAACCCTTTGGAATTTCCTGCTCCTGTGCTCTTAGGAGGTGGTCCTGAGAAGGTGACCAGCATTCAGAGTCCCCAATACCTCCAAAAGCAGATTCCCAAGAGAATTTACTAACCAGCTTCTACTGCTCTCCATAAATCCAGGATCCAAATTTTGCTGATAGTTTCTCTTTTATCACCAACTTTTGAAGCTCAGCTCCTTCAAGGTCACCATGACCAAGACACAGCCACCAGCCATCACTTTGCCTACAAGTCCCTATAGAAAACAAATCCAGGAGAACACCTTTCCTAGTCGACCACTTGTGCCAAGAAGTTATCTTCAACGTGCTCAAATCTCCTGGATCTGTTTGAGTCCTCTGTGATATTCCCAGTTGATATCTGGGAATAAAACCCATAAGGATTGGTGACAGAGGTGACCTGTATATCCATAGTGTAAATAAATGAATTATCAATATTTTAATATTGCTCCCCTCTTACTCAGCACTGCATTGTGAAGCACTTGTGCTTGGCCAAGGATGGGTGTACTTTGAAATACTTCTAGAGAAAGCAGATTAGCAAAGATCACAACCTGGGCAGATTCACTGAGATCTTTGTTGTCCCCTTCCTTGTTTTCCTCTCTGTTGCAGTGTGGTAGCACAACCCAAACATAGCTTCTAGGCTTTGTTCCAACCCAAACTGTGCCCAGTAATTCAGAGTCACCAAACACCTACTACATGAGCTACAGCTTTGGAAAATGTTTGCATTTTAACTTGAATGTGCTTGCAATCTGATTCTAAAGCACCCAAAAGGCAAAACATGCTTAAATCACAATTTTCACTGAATGACAATAACAACTTGATTTTAGAACTGATATTCTGAATGGCTCACAAGAGACCAAAATATTTCAAAGCTGAAAAAAAATACGAAAAAACTCTAAGCTAATATGCAAAAATTCATGTCAATTTGGATTTTTGTCAAAGTTAGGTTAACATTTCTGTGTTCACTTCTGCCTCCTTGTTTTGCCTGGAATGAGAAGCAAGAAAATATGCACAGTCTTCCTCTTTTTTTGCATGGCACTTTCAGCCTGAATAAACCAAGGATTAGTACAAAACTAAGAAAGCTTACAGCCATTTTCAAGGCAGAAGCACAAGAAAATGCAAATTAATTCGGCAAGTTTCTTTTTTTTTTAGTGTATGTATTATCTAGAGCATCTACAACTAATTCAAAATTTGCATTCTGTCTACAGTCTAAATAGAAATATTTATTCAAGTATAATAGTTAAATCGAATCCTAAGAACAACCTGCAAAGGTAAAGAATTCTTGCAGTTCTAGAATCTTGCAAAATATTCTCACACTTATTAAATTGTCTACAGGTTTAGAAGGTTCCTGGTAACATCACTCTGGCATTTTGTTTTTCTTCTTAGGAATCTCTAAGTTCCACTAAGGGAAGCAGAGCACTGTTTATGACAGTGGAAGAATCATTTTCATGGACCTACATATTACAGTTCCTTCAGGTGAAAAGCTGTGTAGAAAGGAGACAAGCAGAGAAGTGCCAAGGAACCAAAAACTTCTCCGATTTTCCTTAGAAGATTAAATTTTCCTTAGATTTTTCTTCTAGGAGAGACCTTTCCTAGATAACCTTTCCTTGATTATCCTCTGAGAGCACTTTTAAAAGCTGAAATTAAAACCACATTTGGCCTGATGGTATTTTATTCCCACAACCCATCTTGGTTATGTCCAGAAAAACCCTGATGAAGTCAATAAGGTTGCACAGTCTATGGAAAGGAAAAATAAATTGTTGACAGGAAGGAGGAAAAGGAGGAACTTACATCTTCAACAAATTTGACATTAATTACTAATCACAGTTCATTTTGTCCTGGACAGGTGTCCATGTTACCAAAACCACAGCCATTAACACATTTGTTGGCAGCCTCAGACAGGCCAAAGACCAAAAAAGCATGGAAACTGGACAAACATCACAGCTCTGCAGGTGGTCCCTCAAAAAAACAAGGAAGATTATGACATTTACACCCTTGTTGTGTGTAGTCCCAAGGCAAGACAGGAGACATCCATTTCCAGAGCTGCCAAGGCTGATCAAGCTTCACCTCACTCAATTCACCTTCAAAAAAAAAAAAGCTTAACCTCCCTCCTTTTCCTCTTCTACACATAAACACTTTTCAGAGCCTTAAATTTATTGCCTTACATTTACCTTCTGGTAAAAGGAAAAAAAAACAACCCACCAATTTTCTGGAAAGTCAGAAAAAAAGTACTAATTCTCACTGAAATTGTAACAAATGATGGTGAGAACTTGTGGACAAAATATGAACCAGAACAAAATCAGCAAAAACAATCTGCAAATTAAATTTACATCCGTGTGTCAGTTTGAGATCGTTCTCCAGCCTTCTGCAATTTTCCAGAAGCCTTGTTTTCAAAATGGGATTACACACAGAAGTAACCCACAAACCCTTCTAATTTAGGCTCCCAGCAGTATTTTTCTCCTTCTCCTGGAAGTGCTCAAGGAAGAAATGCATGGTGAAGGATTCTGAGCAGATTTAATAAACCTGGAAAGCAGTTTGGCATCAACAGAAATCCAGGGATGAACTCTGCTACTGAAACCAAAAATAATGAGTGGGAAGAAACCATTGCTTCATAAAAATAAGAGCCATATCAGACTTGATTCTTCACACTCCCATGTCAGTCTCTTCCTGTTTTGATTGTGGCAACTCAAATTGCCAAAGGAATACCAACAAAAGAATTTAATTACAGATTTTAAACTGTGTCTGTGCTATCTAACACCTCTGCTAAAGTCAGTAGCAGCATTCCATTACTCTGTGCTTCTCCCTCATGTCTGGGAAAATGCCCCAAGGCACATAAGGACTATAATAGTCCTTTCCCTTAAATTAATTTAATCTTTGGATTTTTTCTTTTACTTTTCTGAAGTCTAGCCACTGCATAAATCTTCCCTTCCCCCACCAAATTAATAATAAAATAATACATAGTCATGTTTATGCTATATTTAGTATAATTTCATTTTATTAATTTAATGAAAAATATGCAAAAATAAGCTTAAAGCGAAATATGTATACAAATAACTTCCACCCATATCTAATTCAATCAATCAAATAAAAAACCCTTGTGGAAAAGCCATCAACTTTTTATCCAAGAATGTAATTGATGACCAGATTAAAAAAATGCCCACCTTAACACAGAAACCCAACACTTTTACACAGGCATGTGTGTGTGTAAATTAAATAAAATTAAATATATAGCCTAGAATTTATAATTTTTCCCAGTTT